GGGCCATCAGGGTAACAAACCATCCAGCAAATTTTGGGGCAGAGAAAAAGTGTAAAATTTAATCCTGAGCACACACTGAACTGTGAAACTGAGAAATATATTTTCAGTAACTTTTGTAATTTCAGCATTACTGAACCAGATGTGAAAACTGAATGATTTTTATGACTATTCCTGCCAACACTATAAAGACTGACTTAAATTTGCAGTCATGCATCTATCTCCTCTCTCATCTAAACATCTGCAAGTTTAAAGAGGCAGGCAGGTATGTATGATGATATGGATCCTTAAGTATACCAGCAGAATGCAGCTTAAACTGCACCTGGTACCAAGCTTTTTCAATATAGTGTTTTTTCTTGAAAATACAATCTAACTTCAGCCTGGACTTAAGTTCTTCAATATGTGCTTCTTCAGACAGTCAACATACAAACAGAAAGCAAAAATGACTAAAATTTCCAGGAATGAGATCACGAAGAAAGGAAAATGATATGCACACACTATAAAACTAGAGTGAAAATTTTCATCTATTTTGAGGAGTTAGTATCCTTTGAAGTTGACATTTGCTTTGAGGGACTGGAATCTGTCTTCTACTTTCCTCATTTACCTCCTGCACATGCTTGCTTAGATACTCAAAATGCTTACTTTAAGAAATTCCAGTGCTCTTTCTACATTGAGCATGCTTCAGTCTCTGAAGTTTAGCTGCTGATGAAATTCATCTGTAATTTTTCATTTGGCACATGGGAAAAAAAAGGCTAAACATGAAATCTGATAAAAATATCTGCTTAAATAGAATCTTAATCTCAAGTATTCCTCAATGCCATGTGCACTGTAGCACTCCAAAGTCTTACCTCTAGGCACACACAAGTCCTTAATTAACAATCTAGTGCCAGAGATAGCCTTCAGTCATTTAATGCAGCACAAAAAAAAAAAAAAAAAAAAAAAAAAAAGAGAGAGAGAGAGAACCCAGGATGACAAATGAAAAACATGCCCATACTTGCTTTTAAAGGTAAGTAAGTTACATGTTTGGTTCCTACTGTCTGAGCATTTGCTTATTTTTAAAGAATATTTTTTAGAATGAAAACATCAATTTTGAGGAATATATAAGTCCTTACTGCTAGTACTCCACTTCTATAAATAAATACACCTATATTCTCACTTAACAGATATGCTAATATCAGTGAAGGACAATTAAAAAAAAAAAAAAAAAAGAGTGAGTGAGAGAGAGAATACCTACACATGGATGGGTTATTTCAAATTTTAGTGAAACCCAGGTGATAGGACAGAGAAAAATGAGGTAGTGATAAAAAAAATAAAATAAAATAAGCCTCAACTTATGGAGTGTAGAGAAGAACAAGAACTGAGTAACTGTGGTGAACAACCAGAGTGAAGTCACTTGGACAGGAGACAGGGAAGCAAGCAACTGAGTCTCTTCTCAGCCTACCCATGTCCATGTATGAGTGTGGGTAGCTGTTAATTGTATTTCTAAGCAACAGTTACATGTCTGAACATAAAAATAAATCTATTTCTGACATTTGCAAAATATCTTCTAAAAATGAATCTCAGACATGAAGAGGATGCAGACAGTTACGTCTGTAGTTTCAGCCAGACAAGTGAAGGAAGAGCAGTGTTTCACGATACAGCCTTCAAGATTTGTTGCAAAGCCACAGGAATCAATAAACTTTGTCATCAGCTCTTTGCTCAGGGAATCAGCTCTTCTCCACTGTTCTCAAGTCAGCTCACCTCTATTTTCCAAGTGATACCAGATTCTCCTAACTGCTTATCTGCTTTCCCTCAGGCATCTGTGTACTTCCTCCTTCACTTAGCTAGGAAAACCCTCCCTGCAGAAAATAAACTACCACCCCCTTGTCTTCTTCAAGTTCCCCCTTCACCATCAGACAGGTGGCAAATGCATAGACTGTTGGTGGTTTGTTGACGACACTTCTCACCCTCCTGGGAGGAAATAGCTCTTTTACTTTTCTTGCCTTCTTTTTTTACCTAAAACCCCCATCTCCTTTGTTCCTTTGAAAACAAGGGAGGGAAAAAAAAAAAAAAAAAAAAAAAAAAAAAAAAAAAAGCAACTGGGGACAAAAATCCCAAGCTTTACCTTTTTTCTTTCTTTTTAAACTATCCTCCTGTTTCGGTGGTCTATCATATCATCACTGCCTTATGCTATCATTATTAAATGTGAGTATAAAATACAGTAGATGGGATTTCAGCTTGATCTGTATTCCTGGTGGCAATTGTTTTAAAGAACTAGTAGTAACAGGTGTACACAGAACTAAATTTGAGTAGGATGAGATTTGTTGTGAGAAAGAAAGTACCAAAGTGGAATGCAAACCTGATAAAGACTACGTTTTTGGCTTAACCATGAACAACAAAAATAAGATGGCTAAAAATGCATGCACGGACTTTTGAGTCCATTAAAAATGCAGCACTGAAGTCTGCAGAAGTTTATTATATAGAAACTGTAGGTTTGTTTCTGGCTTGAAAAAATAGAAATTTGCAAAGCCAGAATGTGAGTAGGCAGAAAAAACTTAATAGATTTGTCCTCAGAATACATTCAGAAAGAAACTTGTATACCTTGTCATATAAAGTTTAATGGCTTTCAGATACACAGTGCTGTCCAATAATCAAACAGAATTAAAGTGCAATTAATTACACAGTTTGAAATGAATGTATTAGTTACTTGATGGTACCCTAGTAGACTTCAAGCCGTATAACCAAATTAGAAATTGGAACCACAGCACAGCACGACTTGCTATATACACAGATAAAAGACAGGGGCCATTAACTGCCTTTGCTGGTTTACATAACAAGAATTCACTGAAGAAAGGACTACAAGTATGTGAATAATATACTGCAATGAAGGTGAAAATAGGCATTCCTTACTCCCCGATGGAAAGGTAAGTGCAGTAGCTGAAGAACTAATTCCTAGGGCAAGAAAAATTGGGCTAACTACCAAAGTATAGAAAACATCAAATAAGCACTGTTCATTTGATGAATGTTTGAAGTAACCAGATGCAAAATGAGCCAGTCAATATTTTGCTTTAGAATGTGGAGTGTCCTGACACATTTTTGTTGCTTTAAGCAAAATAACACACACACTCGGCTATTTTATAGCCAATAGTGAGCAAAGAATTATGTTGACATTTCCAAATGTCTCATAGCATCTGATGTACAGAGAAATGATGCACAATACCCATCCAGCTGCCTCAAAATAAAGCAGACAGACATGCAGACTGTACAGAAAAGCTCCTCAGGACAGGGGAAAAGAATGAACTTCTGGACATGACTTGAGAGCCTTACAACAGGCCACCACTTCTGTGCAGCCAGGAAGCAGCGTTCTGGTACTCATCACACTATTTATTTATTACTGTCATAAAATAGGATTCAGAGGATTTAAAATTTGACAGGGTTACATACCACAAATCTTTTACAAGCAGCAATATGGTCTATAAATTTCCTTTACTTACACAACTTTTCTAAAATAACACACAAACAACACCATTTTGATGTAACTTGGAGATTGCCACTCAAGAATGTCCTTCAAAACAAATATTTTGAAAACAATTAGTGCATTAGAAATACTAATTCACTGTTTTAGAAAAAGGGTAGACCTGTATCAAATGACTGAAAACATTAATAAACTAGATCAAAGTATATTCCCATCAAGTTTAAATGGGCAATGGCATAGAGACATCTCATGATATTGTCATAGTATTTGTGGAAGAAACATTACAGATTAACATGAAAGACCACAGTTTTCCTGTAAATGGATGACAACAAGACTATCCATTTCCAAAAGCTGACACCTAGAAGTATACAAAGAAATCTTCAGTCATCTTCTAGGCAAATTATCAAGGAATCAATTAGGTAGGCTAAAGCTATTCTTCATTAAGCATAATTAATTGCACAATTCCATGATACTCATAAGCAACATTAGCTAGTAAAATAAGACTGCTATGAAAGAAACTTCTGTTCAGCGTCTAGCGTTGTGCTAGACATATCTGCAGTGCCAGCTATCTTAATTAATAATTATAATGTGACCTTAATTCACATCATTATAGAATTTTTGCATTAACATAAGAGATAGAGATTTCTTTCTGACAACTACCTTAATAAAATTACCATACTTATTGCTTTTATCCACTAACTACACTATACACAAACATTACATCACATACTTGGCTTGTATCCAAGTCTTTATGCCATATCTTTATGTAAATGAGCTTTACTTATGTCAGTTATCATTACATTACTCATTTCTTAGGATGAAAAAAAATAATCAACCAACAAAATCAGGTTGATGGAAAACAAAATGGAGAACCGACTACTGTGACTGCTACCCCTAAACCTCTGCTTGGCACCACTGCATGTTGTCCTGTGAAAACCACTGCTTAGACCTGATTGTACAATCAATAAAAAATGTGACAACCTGAAGTCATTAAAAACTCAATGTGAAATTAGCAGAATGTGTGAGGTTGCCAAAGATAGTCCAATCCTGTAAAATGATGCAGTTCTGGAAAGTCTGCCACACTGTTTGTGGAGCTGCTATAGATTTAAGACACTGGCTAACCTTGGTAAGGCCTGCCATTGCTGCACATGCTTCTGTGGTGCAAGAGCAGGTTGCTTGCCTCTCCCCCTTGGCATGAAAATACCAAATCAACTCATTAACAGTGTTGCTCTCTGGGTAAGAGTGCTGTGGTTTGCTTCGTGAGGAAAGGATTTCCTAATTGGCCTTTGTAACTATCTTGGCTTGAAGACTGACCTTCGAAAAGTAATGTACACTGGTAATGTGTCTATGCCATAGCAAGCTACCACAAAAGCAGTGAGAATGCTCCTAGACACACTTGGGGAGAAAAAAAAAAAGAGAACTATAGCCTCTCTGACTGGACCCATGAGGTCGTTATGGTAGCCCCTGAGAGGACCACATAGATTGCTCTATGTCCCCTGTGAAGGTGGAAAAATAATTGAAAGAAAAGTTTTCATTCTTCACATCTTACCTTTAATGCACAGTATGTTCCTACTCAGGAACGAGTTTTCACTTTCTTTCAGCTGGCTCTGTTAATCTTGAAACTTAAGTACCAGAGTACAGGACACTGCTCAAACTGTAACACTGGGGTAGTGCTGTGCTGGGGAACACAAACGGGTCAGAAACTTGTTACAATAGTGCATCAAAAAAGATTTACTGATGCTTTTTTTTCAACACGAATACCAGGAAGCAACATAAATTTCTTCTATCTTTAAATATAAGTATCAGGCTTAATGTCCTGTACAGTTTTTCCCTTCTGCAAACACAATGTACTAGTTCTAGGGCTTTTTATACACCCCCACCTATGAATCTATGTAATTCAGTGCCTTGGAAAAGTGTGCCACTGGATCTAGCAATGGTGAAATTAAAACATCTTTTTTTTGCAAGCTTTCTTTTGACCAGGTCGTCTGTTGTGAAAAGAGAAAGGCAATTCTATCTGTAGAGAGGATTATAAAGAGATCCTTCTATAATTTAGGAGTAAACTTTGCTGGCAAAATTGCATGTTTCTGCATAGCCCCAGTGAATAAGATGAAAAGTAAATATACCCACTGTAGTTCCAATGGTTTGAATTTGCCACAATTATTCTCTCCAAGTTTTAAAATCACACTGAGAAAAAATATTCATCTCAGCCATGTGCAAATAGGACAGATCTGAATTGATAAATCCATGTTCTAAAATACCAGTTGAGCATTGTTTTAGCAATTTACAGCTGAAGTACTGGAAAAGAATGACTTTTAAGCAAAGCAGAGATACAAACATCAGTGTCCCCTCACCATTTTTGGATTTGGTATCTACTGAAGTCAACAACAACTTGACCTTGGATTTCAGTTGGCATTGATCGGTTCTTTGCGACTTCATTCCAAGCTGGAGACTGTTTGTTGATTTTTTTAATAAAAAATTAAGAAAGAACAAAATGAATCACACTGACAATGAGATAAAAGAAATAAGTAGCTTCCCAGTTCAAAAATATGATGAAACAATTAAAAATAAATTTACAATAAATTCTATTACTAAAGTTTTTTCATTATCAGCAACAAGCTTTGATAGCTAGAAATATTTATTTTATTCATCGTCTCAATTTAAGTTGTTTTACCTTGCCTACACTTCAGAAGATTCATATTTTATCGACATTTCTATTGTGAATCAGTGAATAGCAGGACTCCCAGCTGGACTCTTGCCTCTTCTCTTCCTCTGGATTTGATCTGACTCTCATGAGCTCAGTGTTGCGTCATTCAGACAAAAAACATTCAAATAACCTAGCCTTAAAGTGCTTCACTGAGAAGTCTTTTTTTTTTTTTCTTTCCCCCTCTTTACGCAGCGTATGAGCTGTGTTCTTATTAGCATAGTGTTCAGCCAGCTTCCTGTCTCCCCCCCCACACCTTTTTTACATTTAGGGCCAAGGTCATTTTTACATTATCTGCTACAGACTCATTTTTTAAACACACCAGCCAGATGGTATTTACTTTTTAAAAACATAGCTATAGAAAGTGTTTCAAGTAATAACAAAAGAAATCTGAGGATTTCAGAATAACTTTTAACTAATTCAAACTAGGAGGGGAGTTCACACGATGCTGCAAAAAAGCAGTTAATATATCATGTTAAAAGTACAGAACTCTAGAGAGCAGCAATCCTGCAAATTCTGCAAAAGCAGATTAAAGTCTTGTGAATGAATGAAATATGATGACTGCAATATTAACAGTGTTATTTATGACATTCTAAAATGCCTGTCCTAACAACAACTTCAGAAGCATCCCCCCCCTCACTTGCAAGAAAATGTCTACCATAAGTTTGTAGCAAGATCTATCTCAATACAGTGAAAATCTTCTTTTGCTCAACAGTGACAGCTTGTCTCTTGGGAGATCACTAATGTACACTATGTATTTACAGCTCACTTTAGCTGTCCTGGGAGATTCTGGGAAGCTAGTCACATACACCATCTCATACTTACTTAACCAACAACTTAAATAAAGAACTGAACTCACATTTTAATCTTCTGCCACAGGCAGCCCATCTCAAAGGTGCCCTGGTGAAACCATCTACATTTTAGTCTATCGAGTATGAATGGTATTTGCTTTCTTGCACCATACAGACACAACCTCACAAGTCCCTTTTTAATCGCACATTTTTTGACCATAAAAGTCCACCCCTAAAGAACCAATGGGCTGTAATCACAGCAACTCCCACAATACTCAAGCTAATGCCATGTGTTGAAACCTCAGCTTCATGGAAAGCTTTGTTTTTCTCTGCAAGCTAAGAGGGTAACTTTTCTCGTTTCTTCCTTTCTGTTACTTGTCCTCTCTCCATATTTAATACAACTATATTTCAGGATGTTCATCTTAAGATCTTTTCAATGCTACGGTCTAAAAAAATTTTTAATTGCACTTTCTAAATGGTAGCAATTCTATCCAAAATTTAACACTTGAATTTCCTACTGGACAAAACCGTCCAATCCCAGGAACTGCTGAAAGCATTAATTCACTTAAAGGAGACTTAAAGGGGACTTTTATACAAGAGTCTTCCACAACTAGCTAAACTAAACACTAATAGAGCTTGTTTTCTTTCCCCATGGCCACTGGTCTTTCTGCATTTATACAATTATATTATCTTTTTCCAGAAAATGGATTGTTCCCAGCTGTCAGCTGGAGTGATCCCTGGCCCATACCAGCTTCTTTGTATCCAAGAAACTATAGGGAAAAACTCTATCTGACCAGGCCAAACAAGATGCAAGGCTATTCTAACAGGAAACAGCACAGGCAATCAAGATTCAGTGCTGGGAAATATTCCCTGTTACTGTTGGACAGGAATTACATCTTGGCACTGCCTATAAACCATAAAACCCTATTTAGTGCAATGCTAGCTATACACTAAGTATTTCAGGGCCAGATAAAAGCTCTTGTTCTTCTCCCTTCTCTTTCAAAAATGCTACATGCAGTGCTCTCTCCTTTCATTAAGATGGCAACAAACAAATACACAGGAAAAATATTACCTTCTTTTAAAATTGACTTCTCTCTTGAGTCTAGAGCTTCAGAAAGATCTGAAATAACTTCAGTTTTGCTGTTGGCAGCCTTGTGTTATTCTCTGAGATAATACAGCAGGGCAGGTTGTTCCAGCTCATTCTTCTGTTCCAAGTTCTCTAAAATGACAGGAGAGTTGGGTTTTGTGATGGAACCACTGGGGACTGAATGGCAACGTTACCAGCTCCCTGTGTGTAGTAACAGTGTAAGCTCCTTTCACTAAAGAAATGGTTGCATAAAAGATATAAACACATCATGAAAACACATATCCTTGCACCAATGAGTTTTTTTAACACATGAAGCAGACGTGCACCTGGTTGTGAGGCCCACATGTTTTACGTTCAACATTTGGAATCTTCATTATCCCAGTGTACAGCCTAAACACAATCTCGTTTATGAAAGCCATAATAAAAAGTCAGGAGGCTGCTCCTCTGAATCAGGTCTTCTACCTTTTATCCTTTCATTTTTCCTTTCACTGAAATCCAAGTAAAGGGCTGTGATTTCATATGTGCCTGCCCCTGGTGAGTTACCACCTGTTTTGCAGCTGGTGGGTCTCTTTTTTTGCATGAGACTATCTTCAAAGCAGCCCTTCATTCTGACACTGTGGGGCAAATTTTGGTCCCACTAAAATCTATTGCCCGATTGTCTTCACATATCATACATAGCCACAGCCCATGCACTGCTGCAATGATTCCGAAAAGACAAAGCTCCATAGCAGTTTGGAAACATGCTTTATTCATCTGAGGTTTAATGACCTATTTGCTTTTTCCAGAAGACTACATGTTGTGACATTTTGTTCAGTCTAACAGATATTACAAACAACTCTTCTTAAAGCTGTGGCCCTTATTTTTGTTTGTTGTTTTTGCATAATGTGAAAAGACGTATTAACAGTCTGTCCACTAATAGTGACAATTACTGCAATGGATTTATTCTTTGTCTAAGTATTCTCTCCACATACATAAATTTCCAATGAATCTCATCTCTTTGTAATGAAAACTCACATAAAATCTTCTCTTACAAAACAATTGCTTATGCCCTCATATTCTTCCTGATTTGTATTTGGTTTCACTTTTATTGTTATTGTTGTCCTCTACCAGCAAATTTATTATATTTAAGAACCTGAGGGAGAAGTGAGTCTATGCCAAACAAAAGAATGAGGACATTTCAGAGATGATTTTTGTAGAGTAGCTATTGTCACCATGATTCATCTTTTACTTAAAAGTTAAATGGTAAATCAGTAGGTCAAATTCACAATGACGTATACTAAGGCATTATTTTCCACCATATTCATGGAACTTAAATAATACAGGTCTGCAGTTGCCCAGCTAAGTATGGAGGTTGTTTATGGTTTCATACATGATTTCTGAAGTTCACAGGTAAGTTTTTCTTCAACAGAGCAAAACCAAAATGTTAGCACTTCTTGGACTTCCCCTCCTATGACATTTTTCCTAGGATGGCAAATACATGTTCATTACATTAATGCAGTGCATTGCGATGTGTTGTACTGTTTAAAAGTGCTTTGTAACAATTACATATTCTGCCACATTCATCACATTCATTTCATACTTGTTGCAACAACTGAGGTACTGTAATGAATGCCTTTGGAGCTATGTTGCTGTGGCATGCTGATACATGATGAGAGAAGTTCACACAACTACTCATCTGTGACTGAGGGTAGCTGGTTGTCTTCCTCACCACTTCCTCACAACGGTCTGGATGGATGCAATGAGGTGAAAGATGCATTCGCTCTGCATTAGGAGACCAGAGCAAACAGCAAAATCCAACACAAATGTTTTTCCTAAAGATATCTGTGTTCACTCTACAGCTATAAATGTACCTTTCTCCCTCTTCATCTCTCTGTTTCTTCTGTCACTTCTATTTCTAAAAAGCATTATTTTGGAATGCATTCTGTATGAAAAGTTGCATTGTGCTCAGACAAATAGATCACTGACCCACAAAAGCTTCTGTATGGTTACCAATCAGCATTTTTGTACATTCTTAGGGATTCACCAAAGTTATCTAGGCTGAAGGAATCTTATCAAAGTCTTTTGTATTATACCAACTGCAGAAGCATCAAGGGGAATTTTATGCTAATGATTCTCTTTAATCTCCATATAATTCAGGCCAGCTAAAAATAGATCTTTTACAAACAATGAATCATCATGACTTTAAGTGGATGCAGTTCTGCCACAATACAGTCAAAATCTCTGTTCCATAGCACCTTTCATTCCTCTCCATCTAATAACCACCCAACAAGCCAACTGACAAAATTGAATAGAATTATTTTTTCTTCATCCCTCCTAATTCAACTATTGATAGCATGACCAGAGTCCAGTAAATAAATAATTCCAAATACCATAATAATTTGAAGGATAAAACTGTACCAGAAAGGAAACAGCATTTACCAATGTTTTAGAACTAAGAAAATTAGACATGAGATTGTCAAACTTTGTGGCAGTAGAAAAAATCAAGTTAATTTATTTTCTGGGGAAAAAAAAAAAAAAAAAAAAAAACAGAGAGAGAGAAAGAAAAGAAACAAAAAAGCTCCCAGGGAAGGCTGTAGACCTACACTCACTGCTGTTCCACCCTCTTGGAATGTGTGAGAAACCAGAGATACAAGCAGTGACTGAACCTATTTGTATGATTAATTAACATCCATGTAACCTTGCAGATGAGATCTGTCTCACAAGATTTCACTCAGTGGTAATCTATATGCAAAGATTTCTCCCAGTATGTCACTATGAGCAGACAAGTAGCTTTGAAAACGTTCTAAAATAAGGCAGATCTGTGCAGGGAGGAGCTAGTTTTGTATCTCTCCTTAGGCCATTTTACTCAAAGCTACCACCACTGAAGAGAAGTAGAAACAGCCATGTTTAAATCCCAAACAGTAATTCATTTGGCAGCTGAAAAACGACTCACCTCTCAGTGACAATATAATTGTTTCCTAACACAGTTCTTCTGGATTCCTTGAATTTTACCACCACCCTTCTGAAATTCCCTTAAGACTAATATATAAGATAAAGGTTTGTATGCATTTTTCTTAGACAGCAGGTGGAATAAATGAACAACTAAAGGGCAAAGGCCAACTATTAATATCATAGAGGTTTAGGGCTAAGCGAGATCCAGGTGCTGGCTGATGAAAAGTAACCACAAGACAAGCTGAAAGATTGTTTCCTGGACTTTTAAAAGCCTCCATGCTTGAA